AAAGCCGCCTCACAGAGATGAACATATCTGTGCGTTACCGGCTAAACACCCTGAAGGAACTCAATGTTCCCGGTATCCTCAGGATCTTGTCAACGCCAACTCTTGGAACATGCTCTCGCCAGATTCGCAGTCCCGCCTCGCTGCTTTGTTACCCTCAACTGCTTTCCCTTCTTTCCAGCCTGCTCTCGGATCCGACCACCCTGCAGCAGCGGAATCGATGAACTTGAAAATCTCTTGAGCCTTCCTGTTGCCCGGTTTCGTGATCGGATTCGTTACCTGTCTCAGACTCTCGCAGTCTCTCACTAGAAGCTTCTATGCTAGCGCTAATTCGGCGACGATTGGGGGTTGAGATCGTTTCCCTCCATTTTCCCTCTCAAACCAGCCACAGTGGTTTCTCTGACACTCCCTCACTCACAGTATTATCGAAGGTGGGGTTGAAGGCGGAGGGCGCCGAAAATCACGACGACAGTAGAGGTCTGGGTATGCCTCTATCGGCCCGGCCCTAAGATTTTTCGCTGCACTGAATACTTGAATCTTGGAACTGCGACGCCTGTAGAGACAGCAAAGGCTGCCAATTTGATTCGCGAGGTCCTGTGACTGTCACATCAATCTTTTTTCTTCCAACGACCGTCAAGGGGGTCGCGAAATCGACTTCAGAGTCCTCGACTCTGAAGCCGGGAACTGACCTCCAGGGTTTTGTTATCCCCGAAAATTTTGCGCTGCCATCCCTTGCCTCAGTTCGGGCTGATGCGGTCCGTTGTAAGTTCTGTATTTCAATGCTATCGTAATATGGTCAATAACCGTGCCTCCTTAGCCAGAGATATGAGGAAACGGCTGAAAGACTACGAGAATATTTGTCTGCCTTTCCCCCCTGGCAGCCCTGCCCATGATGAGCCTCTCCCGATGGACCTCAAGCTGGGGCTCATTTTCAATGCGCAGCTACCGGACTTGTTCAAGTTCTGTTTCTTCGTCTGGAAAGACGATGGTTGGAGTCTCAACCCACCGGGTCTCCTTTCGCCGTCTAATTCGTTTTCAGTGCCAGAGGACATCTTGGATGACTGTATATGGGCGCTTGGCCTGTTCATTCGCACGAGGGAGGAATGTTCCGAGAATGTTCTCGTGGCTGCGGGACATGTGCAAGGAAACGGCGCATATAAACTAGCCAGATATTTAACGGTGCGTTTAGAACAATACTCGCGAACTTTGCTTTCAAGATGACACAGTCTTCAGGTCATGAATGCTCGACAGAAGATAGCCTCGTACCTTAGGCAAGTGTCACAACTTCTCTCTCTCCCGCCGGCGATATATAAACTTTTCTAGGCGTGCCGATCGGGCACAGGAGGCTGTTGCGTACATCAAAGCTATGGTTGATGAGGACTGCTCGCGTGGGGACGAAATGTGGTTGCAAAAACCGTGCGCTTTGAAGTTCCATCTTCAGGGTCTGCATATGTTGATGTTAACATTTTTAGAACGCTCTTCGAACTATATGGCGAAACGCTAGTCCTTGCTCGAAGTGATGACCACGAGGCAGTAAAAGTACTACGCCAAGCGATGCTCGGTTTCGAATCTGTCGACTGGTCAAAGTCCGATATGGATGGCTTGCCACAGCTGGTCAAGACCCGTATCTTTCTTTCTCGGGCTTTACGAAACGTCGCTCTAGATGAAGAAGCTACAACTCAGTCCGTCATAAGATCGTTCATTCTGCCTTTCTCTGACTTTCTATGCCGTCAGTGAAGCGTGGCTGATCACCTGGTTCCGCAAGAATCCTTACATGCTGCACGACGGAGATCTAAGATTTCTTCTGCTCCCTCCTGGTCCAATCCTGCAGGGATTGGGTGGAGAAGCATGGCTGGAAAACCGCAAGTCGACCTCCAAAGCAGACCGACGTCTCACCAAGGCGTGTAGAACCTGTGGCGCCAGAGAGCCTCTCGTAACCCTCCAGCGGTGTAACAACTGCAAATACATCTACTACTGGTAGATTTTCTCGCTAAGCTCATCCGCCGCCTTGAAAAACTAATTACTTGTCCGCAGCTCCAAGGAATGTCAAAAGTCGCACTGGAAACATCACAAGTTGCGTCTTCTATGTGCAGCCGAAATCAGGAAACCGATTTCACTGACTACTTAATTCAAGAGTTGAATGTCGGTAAGTTAACTCAGATCAGCCCGATCGTCTGCTCTTTACTTTGCCTGACTAGTGAGATGGTTGCGATCCAAGAGCAGATTGAAAGTATGAGCCTCACTGACCCTGACGGCGCGAAACTTGCCACAGATTGGTCCTCGTGGTGCGATTCTAACCCGGACGACTTCTGGATGATTCATGCCCTGGGCTTCCATCGTGATCTCAAACGTGGGCGCACACATATCGTGATCAAAATGATTGAACATGTTCCAACCGCAACCAAACTGAAAAACAAGTTCCGTGTTGCCCTATGCGGGGTTTTCCTTATCAAGGATGTCATTCGCGACGTGGAGGGTATAATGAACCTGAATCGCGATGAAGGCCAGGAATACGTGGACGGGTTGTTCTATGAATTGGCTGGTGCGCATGCGGATGTCCCATTCATCCACTTGGCGTTCTGTGATGGTGTAACAGCCTGGATTTGTACTGGTGCGATGCTCAGTTTTGGACTTGTGAATTTTGATTTCAACCACATCTCCGTACCAGGTGCAACATACCTCAATAGTATCCAGGCAGCGCCGTAGGATCCCGAGTGGCGTAAACGGCTCAATAACGGGGCCCCGCCCGGACCACTGAAACTGAGAAGTGGTGCGAAGGATGTCGAACATGTTTTCTGAATACGATTCCCGATGCACCGCGCTTCCCGCCTGTGTCACCAAAATATCACGGCCAAATTTATCGTTCAATACCCACATCACTGTTAGTAATTACCTGATTTTCTGCAAGCATTTGCCGGAGATGGAATAGCCAGTGCCCGTGCAACGGAGGTTGACTCTAGATCTTACCCTGATCGCAGCGAGTCGGTCCTGGGTTTTCTGTTTCGCTTTCCGTCTTCCTGAGTCGGTAAATTTGCGATGTTCTTGGGAGATTGCCAGTCAGATAGTGATCCCTGGCCACGGCCTGCCACGACTTTGCAAATTTTAAACGTGCAGCCGCTCCACTGCGTCGTGGTGTGCATTTTTTTCTGGGAAATCTGCGGCCGTCTAGGCTCGTGTCTAGCCGTTATGGTAGTATTGACGAGCAAGCAGGTAATAAGTAAGCAGTCCTTTGCTCGCTCATCAATACTTCAACTAGAACGGGTGGACACGAGCCTAGCGGCCGTCGGGAATGCAACTTATCGGACATTAGAGAAGTTGAAACGATCACGAGCTCCAGGGCACCGTGCTTGGATAACGATGGTCCCACGATGAGGGCCAACTCTGTCGTCATGTTTCCGAAACCGAGATTAATGCAGGCTGTAGAGCGGTTTTTGGGATACCCGGAAAGATGGAAGACAAAGCGGAGAAGAGGCACATCACTTGCTGGGGGCGGCTTTCGTTCGAGACCGAGTAGTGGAGTGTCCAAAAATCGACTAGACGCATGAGTAGTGACAGGCGACGCACGAGATTATTGGGCAGCGAGTACAACAAGATGATCACAAGAAGACGGCACCTTTTATCTATCTTGGTAATAACACGCCCTCAAATAAAATAGCGTGCCGTGATCTTCTCTCCCACCGCGTCGTCCGTCATCCGCCGAGGTGTACTCCAGGGAGTCCCCTGTCCAGCGCCACAGCGTCAAGGATTTCCACGCATTCCCGTTAGGTCTCTTGGCTCTTTCAACCCGCCCGTCGACGTCGAGAACCACGCTTTCCAGTTGTGATGGACTCGTTATCGTCGTACTGCGCGTATTTCCGGCGGGATCACATGGGCCCGGCAGTAGGAGCGGAGCGGGCAAGTGGCGCGTCATCCCTGGCTCTAACAACACGGTCAAGCTGTGTGTGCGGGGATCAATTGTCTGGATCTGCGATGATGTGGCGTGTTAGCAGGGCGATTCCGACGGTATACCGTCCTCACAATGACATCCTTCTCGACGAGGACACCCACATTGGTGAAATTTCGCTTGTACGCAAGTATATCCCCTTCACGAAGAACTGAATTCTTGGCCAGGTCGACAAGTTTGAGCTCTGCGGCATCGCTACGGCGCCAAATTATAAGAGATTGTAGAGGAGGAGAGCCAGAGATGTACATACCCTGCACGATTTGAAGGTAAAAGAGGGTTTGTAGCGCCCACTGCGGCCGGTTCCTCTTTTTGGTTATCGCGTTCCCAAACCTCGTCTTTCCATGGGGCCGCAAGGCTACCGTCTTTTATGCCCTGTTCATATTTCTTCACCTTTTCGGCGTGTGTATCGGAGAGCCAATTGGAATACAAGTGATCCTGGAAAGTGTGTGCGGCGGCGAGAAAGTGGGCGTCGGTGAAAAGCGATGGATCTAAGGGGCCTGATCCGCTGGGGTCAACATTCATCGATTCCGCCGCTGCGGGGTGGTCTGATCCAAGAGCAGGCTGGAAAGAAGGAAAAGCAGTTGGGGGTAACAAAGCAGCGAGGCGGGACTGCGAATCTGGCGAGAGCATGTTCCAAGAGTTGGCGTTGACAAGATCCTGAGGATACCGGGAACACTGAGTTCCTTCAGGGTGTTTAGCCGGTAACGCACAGATATGTTCATCTTTGTGAGGCGGCTTTTCGGATTTTGCAACATGAAACGCAGCTGTTCCGCAGGATCTTTGGCCACGTCGTCTTTGGCCTTGCGCTTCGTCAGAACATTTTCTGCCACTGGGATTGGTTCACGCTGAGTGGGTTTGGGCTTTCGATTCGAGCGTCGAGGGCCAGCGGAGTCGTCGGCCATGGATGTAGTGCGTAAGGAATGGTTGATCGTTGGTCGTGTTTGGCACGGTTCAAAGTAACGTGACACCTTCCGCATTTGGTCTTCCCGGTTGAAGTTGAATTCAGAACATCTCAGTTATTGACCACACTGCTAGTTCTTTCACTCCAAACTCTCTCGAGGGACTTGTGGCCTAGTGGTTATGGCGTCCGCCTTACATAAGCAGCGCTCACTCCGTCGTGCTTTGCATAATGTCCTCGCGGAAGGTCGCCGGTTCAATCCCGGCCGGGTTCAGTTTTGCCTCTCTGTCTTCGTCTCGTCGACATCTGTCCAGTTTTTTTTCGCCGCAGGAACCCCCGATGTCGCACCCGAGGTCCCAAGATTGCGGAGAGCCAGACCCAGGTCGGGGACAACCATCTTCACAACTATTCACAACTGCTGGACTGATTGACACAGCTTACCGACGAGTGCCCACTGCCCGGTCTTCTGCTACCCACTGGGCCACGTCATCCACTCCGGATGAAGCGGCGCACTCTGGTAGGCACTCTGGTAGAAATATTTGATTTTGAACGTTCAAGGCGAGTTTAACTGCTGTGTCGGCGAATAGAGGTGTTCACATCCCGACTCATAGTCCGCAGCCGGACCTGAGTACATGGAATTGTACATTTTCAACCTTGATTGTTGTATTTGCCAAAACTTCTTGGGGCAACTGACCGTCACCGTTCACATGGTTGAAACATGGCACTGGCACCAGGTTTGAAATATTGATTGAACTTGACACGCTGGAGAGAGGCTGAATGATTGGTGGTCCAAGTGTTATGCTCGGGCAGACAAAATGGAGCGGAATTGGGACCTTCCTTCGGCCGGTGGGGCGAAGGTCGAAGCAATCTCAGCGAGACAAATTATACGACTTACCTGTTAGAACAATGACCTTTGAGGTGTGGGGGATAGGGTTTAGTGGTGGGTATTGTCCCCTTTGAGAGGTGAGAACGCTCCGGTAAGTATATATCCCCCGGGCCGAAATAAGGTGTCACCTCCAAGTAGACGATTGCGGTCAACTTGGAGCACAATGTAAACCCGATCAGTTTTGAGGTTCGATGCCGTCCGGCATCAGCGCGGAGGGTCGAAGCAATGGCGACACCAAGGCTAAGGGCTCCGAGTCAGGTCGGGTCCGACTCGACCCAACCATGCCTTGGACACTCACAATTTTTCTGTTCGTCTGCTAAGAGAAGTTCAATGTTCATCAAATGTTCATTTGAACGAACTTCGAAGGACGGCGAAACGACAGGACGTCAACAGGACGTGGCGTAGCGTGGTGGTATCACCGTGGAGATTGAATTGAAAGAAAGAAATAAGATCATGCTGGAGTGCAAGGCGGAGAGGAGAGGGCAAGGGCCAAGCAGATCAATCCGATCATTGGATCAATTTCATCAAAGAAAGCGGAGGCTTTGCACGTGATCACGATTTTCGTGTCGCGCTCTCGCTTCTGACGTGTTCTTGCCTCTCGACGCGATGGCTGCAGGGGTCTCCCTCGTTCTTTTCACCACCACTGCCGCCGCTCTTATTGGACCATGGTACTACTTCAGCATCCACAACGCTCCAGGACGGCCCTTGACTTCTACGCGGTCTCTGCTCAACATTGTTATCCTCCTGCACACCCTCTACTCTGCGTACCAGCTGATCGTATTGCGTCCCACAAACATCTTTGCGCTGCTGAAGATTCCATTGAACACGCCCGTCGATGCGATTCGGAGCATTCTGATTCAGCGGTCAGACACTGGAGATATTCCAGCGCCAATGGATATGCTACTCAAGCGTCTTGGCTCGTTTGACGTGAAAACATATTACGTACGGTGCGTTTTGGTTTGCGCACAGTATCCCTTTCAATGTTCTTAATTATCACCGCCAGATTCGGCCACTCGGTAGTTGCGACGTGCGACTATTGCTTGTCCTTTGAGGAATTCGGCATGTATGCGCTACCGCGAGCTCTGCTCTCATATGTTTGGGAAGCTACGGTCATTGGGGTATGTCTCTTGGCTGCTTCATATTCTGCGAATTGAGAAATTTCCCCGCAGATAGTAACAATCAACAACTCGGGACGCGAGCGATACCGCACACTCGCCGTCGCGGCGGTGGCAGCCGCCTTTTGCCTCGAAGCGTACTACATATCGACTGTGACAATAGAAATCCCCAAGGACGATAAACACGTCTTCATGGTGCGTCACCCTACTCGCATCACTTGCCTTCGTCAAACTAACCAACTCGCTTGCCCAGTGGCACGACTGGCTGTACTTCATCCGGCGGCTCATTTTCCTGATATTACCACCGCTAGTTCACATGCTCCCGCCCTCCGCGTCCCCTGCAGCGCTCGTCAACCCGACAATCGCCGCGATGCGCACGGCAGAGCAGACAGCGCTGCGGCTGCACCTCTTGGGGCTCGTGCGCGGTGCTGTGATGCGCGTCCCGGACCTCCGCGAGCGCGCCGCAGCATGGTGGTCCGCCGAGGCGCGCGAGGGCGACTGGGTGCGCGAGGACGAAGCCGTGCGGGAGCTTGCGCGGAAGCTCAACTGTGGATTCGACGAGGGCGGCTCCGACGGCGAGGGCGCGGGCCCAGTGCGCATGAACGCGCGGACCACCGTCAACGCGCTCAAAACGGGCTTTGCGCAGAGCGAGTTTTGGCGAACTCCCTCATAGATCCACCTCGGCATCCTGTAACATTATATTTGCGCATAATTACCTGTAATCTTCTTGGAGACTCGCACGGAGTAGGAACACCAAAGCGAAAAAAATAGTATAACACGGTGTGAAGATGCACAGAAGGCCAGCATCTACACAACTGGGAAAACAATAAAATAGAATAACATGAATTAGACGAAAAAATGAGATGCAGCAGAACTGCCGTCGTTTTATCGGACTAGTAATCGTAACCTTCGACCTTGAAAGTTTTGCCATACTGCAGGTAGCTGTCCATAATTTTGAGAATCGGGTCGGGGAGGCCCATGCTGAGCAAGGTATACGAGATCTTGGCATGTCCGTGGACCTGCCCGAGCTTGAAGAAACACTGCGCGATTTGTGTCGGGTACTGCGTGCTCGTCAGAATACTGTGCGCCCAGTACTCAGGTCAAAACATACCGTCATCTCCGTGTACTCCGCATACTGGTACGCCGCGACGCGGATCGCCGTCTGTATCGTCCGCTGGATGTCGCCCTCGTCGGCGTACATCTCCAGGAGCTTGATCCACGGCTTGATAGAGTAGCGCGGCGTGTCCAGACAGCGCTGGTACGCCTCCTTCGCCTCTTCCTTGTGATGCAGCCGCGTCCCCAAGTCCCCCAAGATCTCCCACTCCAGCCCCGTCTTGCGGTACGCGACGTGCTGCGTCTTGAAATGCGCCACCTCTGCGCGGAAGATCGTCCACACTCGTAGATCCTGGTGACACCAAGTCAGTTGCGAGCCCGAGACTTGGGAGAAAAGAACCAAGGTACTTACCTCGTAGAGCACCATGAAGAGATTGTCCAGCCATCGCTCGCACAACCGCTTGTTGCTAAACGAAAACGGCTCTTGCGCTACGGGTGAAGTAGGCTCCTTCCCCTTCTTCTCCGTCCCAGTGACATTACCATCCGCCTCATCATCGCCCGCCGCAGCCTGCACTGGCCGCTCAAGCGCATCGCCCGCCGCCGCCGTCGCAGGCACCCCATTTTCCTTGTCGATATCCTCCTCCGTTGAGATGTGGATCGTCGGAATCTGGTTCTCACTCGCGTTGGCGTTCCCATTCCCATTCCCATTCACCTCGGGCCCGACCGCGCTGTTGGGTGTCGTTGCAGAGACGCTTCCGCCAGGGCTGACCATCCCCCGCGTTGACGCGTCGTCCTCATCGCCATCCGCGAGCGTCGTCCCTTCCGCCGTCGCAGAACCCGCGGACTCGGTGCGCGCATGGCCGGCAAAGTCGCCCTGCGCTTTCTGCATGCGGTATTCCTCCTCCATGACGAATACGGAACTCCGCGTCTTGAGCAGCTCGTCCCAGCCGATCTGCGCGACGAGCTTCGTGAGGAGTCCGTATGCACGGGCCCACGTGCCGCGCAGCCCAGGAGCAGGGAGGCGTTGGAGAGCTGGATCGGCCTAGAATATTACATGAGTTGATCCTGACTAAACAACCGAAGGCGACACAACGTACTTCATCGTCCTCCGTCTTGACGCGATCCGGTAGGATCTCGCCTATTGAGCGGTGGAACGGCAGGTGAATTCGGGAAGGCGTGAGCTGTCGGTGTGCATCTCGGCCGTTGAACGTGAACATTGGGCACGAGTTGAGTGTGAGCAGTGCCTGTTCAGAATGAGCCCGATGTCGACAAAACAAAAGGACGGAAACATGCCGATTCAAACATGCCCAGCTCTATGTACACCTCCGTGAGCTTCTCCCATGTAACGAACTCGCTGGGGGCGGCGTTGACGGCCTGTCGCGCAAGCTTGAGTGCCCAATCCGCCCGGCCCTTGTCTCGCAAAAAGTCGCACTGTGCGTGCAGAAGTGTGTAGGACGAGGGCCCCGGCGCGTTGCGCAGCGCCGTTGACATGATCTGCAGCGCCTTCACTTCCTCGTCTGCCAATGCGTCGTCAGCCTACGTTCGAATAAGGAATGGAAACACATACGCATCCCGAGGTACGCTCGCGCGAGGAGAGAGGAGACCTCGGGCTCGCGCACGACGAGCTTCTCAAAGAGGTTCGCCGCTTGCTGGTATCGCCCGGATGCACCAAAGTACTTGAGGAGCCCGGCCGTGAGGTGGTTCGTCGTGACCGACGCAACCTGAATTTCAGGATCCGAGCCGACCTGCCACCCTGCACCAAAGTCAGCAACGAGGAGGACTACATGAGAGGGAACGTACCCTTGAGGAACAGCGCCTCCGCCGCAGCCAGGAAGCGCAGTTCGCCTTCCGGGGACGTGATGGGGTCGAGTTTGCGATATGCATCGAGGGCATGTGTGGGATCGTCGGAGTAGAGAATCGCACGCAAGAGTGCGGAAACGTAGGTCTCCTGCCACATCTCCGGAGTGGCTTCATGTCTGTCCGTAAATTAGACCTCAGGAACGATGTAATCCATGAGACGACGCACCGCTCCCCCCGCAGGTCCACGACATACGCAATCACACCGCCGGGTATCTTGACGTCGACGCGAAAGTCGACGCGCGAAAAGGCATTGAAGCAGCAGTAGCAGCCGTTGCGCACTTTCCACACTGGGGTGCTAGAAAACCACGCGTTTGAGCCCTCGATGGCGTAGGTGAGGGAGTTGATGTATGCGGCGAGAGA